GGCAGGCGGCAGGCAGTAGGCCTGAAGCTGGGGAGGCTCCGGCACCTTGCTCCGAGGGGCTGGAAAGCACTACAGACGTTAGCTCATCACTCCCTGGCAGAGGCCCACTGGTCTGCTATTCTCCCTAGCATCTTCCAGATGGGGAAATGGAGGCACAACCACACTCAGTGTGGTTGCAAACTTGCAGAATACCAAGGGGCCTTCTAGGCAGGGTCTCCAGATAAAGTGAGGAGAAAGGGCCACCTGGACTTCCCCAAACATAGTTGCATTGCTTGAGATTGTATGGGGCAAGGAAGGATACAAGAAAGAACTGTGGTCTAGGTTGCAGTATCTAAAGAGGGCACCAGGGAAGAATGGAAGGGCAGTGGCAAGGATCCATTATCTCCTTAGTGCCCCCCACCCCCTCAGCTGCAACTTTGCTCACTAGCCTGTTAAGAATGACTGACCCATTACCTCTGGAGTGAGAGGCAGCCAGACACCAAAGAGTTAACTCTGATTAGGTTAAGTTGATTATTACGTTTTCTTCCCAATGCTTTCCTGTTATTTCCATATTCTGTGACGGGAACAATTATGACATTTATAACCAAACAAAATGTTAATAACTTTTAATTATTAAAAAGAAGAAGCAACTGAGATGTGTGATGAGCCCTGGGCTTGGTGTGAGGAGCCCACGTCAAGGTCACTCACTTGCCATTATGTGACCTAGGGCAAGTGATGTCATCTCTTTGAATCCTAGTTTTCTATAAAACAGCGACATAAGACTGAAAGAGATAATGTATGCAAAAATGCTTTTTAAAAAATATTTATGGCCTGGCTGGCATAGCTCAATGGTTGAGCATCAACCTATGAACCAGGAGGTCGCAGTTCAATTCCCGGTTGGGGCACATGTCCAGGACGCGGGCTCAGTGCCCAGTGGGGCATGTGCAGGAGGTAGCCGATCAATGATTCTCTCTCATCATTGATGTTTCTATCTTTCTCTTCCTCTCCCTTCCTCTCTGAAATCAATAAAAATATATTAAAAAATATTTTGGAACTTTTCAAAGATATACACAAGTAAACATAATGAAGAAGGCCATGTATCCATCTTATTTTATATATATCCCCACCCACTTAACTCTATCCATCCCCACCAGAATATTTAAAAGAAAATCCCAGACATGCCCTTTTCCCCAAAAAATATTTCAGTATTGAACTGCTTTTTACATTTTCCATAATTTAAAAATTATGCACATATATACACATGTACACAAAAGTGGAATCCTACTGTATATGCCATTTGTGTATCATTTTATTTACATTATAAAAGTAATAAAATCATATTACAGAAAATCAAAAGGGAAAATTACCCATAATCCTTTACCACCTAATATAAAAACTTAACATTTTCATATATTTCCTTCTCACTTTTTTCAATTTGCATACATACTTTTAACACAAGTGGGAGTGTACAGATTATCCACTTTCCAAATTATGAATCTATTTTAATTGTAAGAAAATAATAGTCATATTGCAGAAAAAGAAAAAATAGCACCATAATCACACTACTCAATTATAATCACTGTTGTCATTTTGGTGTACTTCCAATATTTCTCCTATGCACATACAATTTTCATGAAAGTGGGAGCATACTGTTTATGCACTTCATTAACTATAAACTTATATTTAATTATAAAAATAATATTGTATGACACGGAGAAAGGGAGAGAAAAAATCACTCATAATCCCACCACTCCACTGACACTGTTGCTAGTTTGGTGTTTTCCTGACCATCACCTCATTACCCATATTCATAGATGGCTAGAAACATACTACTTAATATTCTACTCTGTGCCCTTTGCAGCTTTGCATCATGTTTATGCAACTTTGTACCCAGAGATTATTTTTAATTTTGTACCATTTAATTTTTTATTGATTTTAGAGAGAGGAAGGAGGAGAGAGAGAGATATACTTTGTTGTTCCACTTATTTATGCATTCACTAGTTGACTCTTGTTTGTCTTGTATGTGCCCTGACCAGGGTTGAACCCACAACTTAGCATATGGGGACTATGCTCTAACCAACTGAGCTACCCTACTAAGGCCAGAGGTTTTTTTTATTAATATTTTGTAGTGAACATTTTCTCATAAATGAGTTTTGGAAGTCAGTAATTTTTGTGTGTTTTGTTTTGTTTTGAAGTTTCAAGGTCCCAAGAGACACTTCCTTACCATGGACATTTAGATTGCTTTCTATTTTTCACTATTATAAACAATTCTGCTCCAAACATTCTTGAACAAAGACTTCTGTTTTTTAACTTTTCCACACGTATATTGAATATATGTTTCTGGAGACTATTCTGGCTGTTTCCAGCTGTTGGGGAAAAGGTGATCATCTTGTAATGGTCCCTAATTTTCTCCTCTTATGTGGCTCAGTCTGTTTTTAGACTCCTCTCAGTCTGTGTTTTTAATTAATTAGTCAGCAAATGTTATTGAACCTGAAGTGTGTGAGCTGAGGCAGGGCTAAGAGGCAAAAAGAAGAATCAAAAGGCACAATAACAGCACTTTTTGACCACTTACTACAGTAGGCATCAACCTGGCTAAGCTTTTCCTTTAATCCTTTCAACAACTCCACCATCCCATTTAGCAGGTGAGAAAACTAAGGCCCTAAGGATGAAGTCACGTAGCCTAAGATCACACAGATAGGAAATAGCAAAGTAGAGATTTAAACCCAGGCAGACTGACTCCCTAAACTGCACAGTAGATATAACAAGAAGTCACCAGTGGGAAGACAGCCTAAATGCTTTCTTACCCTCCCAGGCAGCGAAGTTCAGGGGTGAGAGTAAGGATTTTGCAGTCAGCTTAACTGGATTCAAATACCCGCCTCCTGGCTGTGTGAACTTGGGCAAATCTCTGGGACTCCATTTCAAAACCCTGCCTCACAGGTGGGAATTAAATGAGATAATGGATGGGAACATGCCAGGCCCAGTGCTGGTGTACAGAAGATTCTTGCCAGGTGACCATCCCATCCTCTACTTGCTACTCGAGCTGGAAGTCTAGTTGCCAAGTTGGAGAGAAGAGTTCAGCGGAGAGTTCTGAGCTGAGCTGGAGCCCACTGGGAAGTCGGAGATCCGGGTTTATTTGCAGAGAAATGCAAATGTCTCCTTTGCTCTCTCCCTGCCTGGGCAACTAACCTCCTCTCCCATCTGCGCCCCCCCGCCCCCCCCCCCAGAAGAAAGGGTTGGTTTTTGCGCTCCAGAGCTGAGCGCTTGAAGCCCCTCTTTCCTGCTCTCTGGGAGGTGGACAGTAGAGATAAAGGGTCACCAGTGGGAAGAACCTTTCTGGCATGTGGGCACAGAAATGGGGCGGAGGGCACTCTTTTTTCTGCCCTTCAATGGTCCGGATGGGGGAGGGGATGGCTGTTGAGCAACTGCTCGGGAGACACTCTAGAAGCAGAGACTAACATTTGCCTCTTTCTAACAATTGGACTGGGAGCCATCTAATATATGGAAGATGGATTTACCACCTCACGGATCCGGAGCCTGCGACAAAGCTGCTGCTGTGGTTTCTAGATCTGCTCCCCCTGGGGCTGAGGGGGAAGATAAGTCAGAGGTCCAAATTAGCCAAGCACAATTTGAAAACCTAGGGTCTCTCGCCTCAGGCAAACCCAGAGATGGCTTGAGGATGTATTTTACAGTCAAAACTCTGTAGGGTTTTATGGTCCCGACAGATACCACCTTTTATCAGAGGGAAACTGGATACAATTCAGGATCTTTGGGTAAAGTGAGAAACTGCAGCAATGGTGTGGTTGTTACTGAAATTTGTGTTGGGACTGGGTGAGGCTAAGGAAAAGGAGACACGCAAAGCAGCTTTAGGGGCTGGGAAATGGGTTTACCTGGTGCCCAGAGAATTCGCCCCACCTTCCTCCAGGTATCAAGAAAGGTCCTTGACCTGTCCCTCTATTTTGCTGCCCATTTTTGTGTCAGTAAGCCAGTCAGTCCGTCAGCAAACAGAACTTTGTTACAAGAGCAAATGGGGATGAAAGAAGGAAAAGAAACGGGGGGGGGGGGGCGCGGAGAAAAAGACCTTTAGATCTTCAAATCCAATTAAGAAGATAGAACACATACATAGTGAATGTGCCATGGTGACATCCCCCCCCCCCTTTGTTAACATTTGGGACTTTTAAAAAGAGGATATTTTATAAACAGTGTAAACTGAGTAGTTATTGCTGAAAGAGGTTTAAAAAAAGGAGTTTAGTAGAGGGGTAATCCTGGTGGCCTTCTTGTAAAATGTGAGGAGCTTCTTGGCTACAAGGAACACCAACTGAGATAAAGGAGAAGGCTGGACCTCTTTCCAATAGATTTTTAAAATAACATCCCAACCTGAGAAACATGTGCTCCGAATGCAAAGTATTATTCTTGCTAGATGGGAATGATTGTATAATCATAATAAAATAACCTGGCATCATGGGAAGGCAGGAGGAATCCCCGGCAGCCCAGGGGCAAGCTCTTCATTCCCTGCTTCCTGTTCCTGGCCTTTGGCATGCCTCTTGAGCTGCACCTCATCCAGGAAGGCAGTATATTTCTGCGTAGCATCCCACCAGCCTCCGTCCCCTCTGGACAACCACAAAAGAGAATACTTGGCTCAGGCCTGCGAGGGAAGCCACTGCTGCCTGCAGATAGGCCCTCAATGAGGCTCTGCCTGGATCTGGCGACTTTAAGGGGGAAAAGGACCCCAGCTTTGTCCCTTCAACAAGGGAAATGGTTCAGCCCAAAGGGACAGACAAGCTCCGAGAAAGCCTGCAGAGAACCCAAATCATGCCTCCCGCTCCCCAGGACCGTCCCTTGTGCGCCCCCTACTCAGGGTCACTGCCTGAGTCCATAGCTCTCCTCCTGAAGCCCTCTCAGCCCACCCGCTAGATTTAGGTCAGAAAACAGACACTAACAGCTCTCCTTTGCCTTAGCAAAATTAAGTGGAATTTATTGGGCAAGTCCATGCAGGGTGGTGGGGAGAGACGATGTCCCGGGCCCGGGCCCCCGCCAGCTTCAGAAGCACCCGCGTAGGCCGAGGACTCAGTGCTCGGGGTGGCCGTGCCCTGGGTCCGCCAGCCCCACCCCGGAGCCGTGGCCGATTCCCAGCGCTGCCGGACCCGCGGGGTCGCTCGGACTCCGTTCCCCAGCCGGCCCTTCGCTTTCACAAGATCCTCGGTGACTGCACCAGCTCGAGTGCCTTTAAAGGGCCACACACGCTAGCCGCCGCTATAAAATGTTACCAGCGGCACAGCTGCAGAAGGGAAACGGCTGAGCCGCCCCAGACGCTGCTCACTCCACCGGGCAGGCTGCTCACTGCGCCCGGCAGCCCGCCCGCAGCCCACAGGCTAAGTCGTCCCTGGCGAGGAGGAAGAGGCTTAAGGAAGGCACAGTACCAGCTCTGGCCCTGAGTGAGTATCCAGTTCAGATTTTGCCACCAACTGGCCCACGAGCCAGTACATGTGCTAATAATGCCCTAAGCCGGTTATAAAGACGTGGAAATTGAGGGGGAGGGATAAAAAGGGGGGAAAGGGTCTGTCTTTCCTGGGATTTCTAGCCCAGGCCAACCTTCTGCCGTGTGCGTGTGCATCAGGGCTCTCGGGGCGGCAATGGGGGCTTGAGAGCCGGTCCCGGCGCCAAGAACGGAGCGCGGTGGCCGCCACCGCCACCGCCACCGCCCCGGAGTCAGGCGCCGAAGCCGCGGGCGGGCGGGCACGGTGCGGTGCGGCGGCGGCGCGGCGGTGCGGGCTTTTCCCAGGCGCCCCGGGGTCGGGTGGCACTGAGCGCGACCGGCTCGCGGTGGCGGCGTGCGTGCCAGGGGCTAGGGGTTCCGCCGCTTCGCACTCGGCTCGCCGGGCTCCGCGCTTCCATCTCCAAGGCAGGCGGCTTCGCTGAGGTAAGCCTGGCCGCCCGGCAGGACGCTGGGCTGAGCGGCGGGGCCGAAGGACTCCAGCCGAGCAGGCGCGGGGGGCGGGCGGCGGCCGGGCAGGCCGGGGGGTCTGGGGGTCTGGGGGAATTTGTTTTTCTGTTCGAAAGCTGCTCCGCTGGGGGCGGAGGGGCCGCCGCCCGCCTGCCCGCCAGCGAACCGCTTGGTTTGCCAGCGCGCCTGCCTGCCGGCCACCCGCGCCAGCGCCCGCTTCTCCACAGAAGACGGCAGCACCTTTTCCCTGCGCCCGCGCTTTCTCCAGCTGGGCTTCCACGGACTTTGCTAATCACCCGGACCGCATCTGGACGCTCAGGCTCTGGGGCTGCACAAAGCTCAGGTTTCCTTTGGGGGCTGGAGGCGAGAGGGGCTTTTTGGGCCGAGTTCGGGGCAATTGCGGGATGGAAGTTAGCGAATTTGGGCAACTTGCCTGTACTACCCAGTCTACCTCTGCTCTCTCCCACACGCACGCCCACACAGCCACGCACACCCACGCACACACTCCTCTCCTTATAAACGAGCGCCGCGGGGCTGGCCGCTCACGGAGTCCCTGCCTAGCCAAGCATCGGACTTGGAGTCAGAGAGACGTGGCTGCGAATCCCGGCTCCGCCACTTTCTAGCGCTGTGACCTTGGGCAAGTTACCGAACCTCTCGGAGCCTCTCCTACTCTTCTGGTAGCGGGGTTAGAGCACTGAGCAGAGGCGGCCTGGCTAGGGGGTAGCTCAGCCTGCGGCCGTGTAGGTCACTCCGCGGGCGCTCAGTAAGTGTTGGTGAGGCGCAGGAGCCACCGCCGCTGGTGCCAGAGTGCGTCCCGCGCGCGGCCACACCGCGGGGCCGCAAACTCGCTGCGGAGGACCAGAGCCCGCGCCCCTGCCCGCCTGTCGGTGCGGTCTCTAATATCTGTTCCTGACACAGCACTTGCGGGAACGGAAGCTCGGGGCCTTGGTGAAGTGTGTGCTCGTGCCCACCTTCCAGGGATGCTCCAGGTCGCCCTCAACTCCGGCGGCTCCACCTGGGATGCCGCGAGGAAGGCAGCCGAACTGTTCGCAAACAACAGGCCTTTAGTTTTCAGGTGGCGAAACTGACTGGTCTGGGTTAGAGCGCGTCCAAGAGGAGCCGCAGTACTGTTTGGATTCTTAAATTTCTCTTAAGTGAGAAAATAGCAATCGAGATGGAGCCATCCAGTTGGTGCCACTTTAACTTTTGGTCCTCCAACAGATTAAAGACGAGAGCCCCCTACCTGCCTTGCCTGTCCCTTCTTTCCTCTCCCCACCCCCATCTAGGCGGGAGGGGCTGTGGGGCTAAGGGAAGGTCTGAAGAGAAGGGCGGGCGGGAACTTGTATCAGAGCCTCCAGGCACCAGCGTGTGAGGAGGCACTTGTTGCTCTGGGTTGCCGGCCGCCTCTAGCAGTCGTTTCACAGTAGTCAGCTCTCGGCGTGAGGAGCAGGCTGGGACGCTTCTGAGCTGCCAAGTTTTGCCTTCGAATGGGCTAGTGGCAGTGTGGAGACAGAAAAGCAGGCCAGCAGGGTCAGGAATTCCCATCGAAAAGTGGATTCAACACTTACTGAGCGCCTACGGAGCACAGACCCAGGCGAGGGGCGGACGGGGAGGTGGGGGGGTCAGGTAGGTAGTGGGAGTGGGGCTGAGAGAGGCCAAGAGAGACAACAGATCTGAATGGAAACAGGGTCCTGTTTAGGAGAGCTCACAGCCTGAAGGGCAAAAGGGTCTTCTTCCCCAAGAACTGATATTAAAACTTTTTTCTGGCTCTTTCTTTTATTCTATAACTTTTTCCCCTCCCTTTTTTATTGTTGTTGCTACTGTTTCTTATTTTGTACACTCGGGTACATTTGGGCGGCATAAAGAAGGAAGGCTGGATACGAACAGAGAAAGATGGGCAGGGCCCCTCAACGTTTTTCTTAGGATGTGAAAATTGCTTCATACCGAAGATGCTGGGCTCTGGAAGATGACATGGATTAGACTCCTTGTCTTGTGATCACTGGCTTGAAACATGACTGGGTAGCCTCGGAGAAGAACAGGCCTCCAATCAAGCAGTGGTAGTGATGACCCAGCGACTGGTTTTTTTTTCTGTTTTCTCCCCCACTTTTTCGTTTCTCTACTTTCTTGCCTCCCTACCCTACAAGTAAGTGGTGCAAAAGACAATAAAGAGAAGTAGTAAGTGGCTACTTTCTAGAAGTGTCTGAGCAGATTCTTAATGACCACTGAGGGAGGGAAATGTCAAGGAGAATTCTAGGCTTGTTCGAAAGATTAGACATGCTTTTTAAGGTGTGGGAGATTCTTTGGGGCAAAGGGTATTTATAAATACAAAATTCAACATCTCTGATTCATCATGAAGGCTAGAATAGATGAAGCTTAAAAACAAGCTTCTAGGAAAATAATGAGAGTTTTCAGGTGAGGAAATTTTTTTGGTTTCTGGTTTGAGGGAATTATTTTTCCCTCACCCCTTTATCCTTCAGCACTTGAGCTAGGGAATTATTTCTTCAGCAATTGTTTGAATCATTCTAGGTATGATTCAGTGGTCAGGCGAGGCCTATGAACATAAGAGTGCTAGCTCCTGCTCTCGGAACCACTGCCACTTGATAGGAAAGCCATTGAATCTCTGTTCCTGTTTCCCTTCAGGAAGAAGTATTCCCATTTGTCACTACAGATGGGTGTGGCTGGGCTCAGACCAGGTGTCCTGGGAAAGCCCTATGCTACCTGGGCTGTCTTGGAGGAAGCTTGAGGCAGGGAGGAAATTGAGGCATTCCTTGCTGCTCTCTGGCCACCTCGGAGCCCCCAGCCCACCTTTATCAGCCTGGCTTTTCTCACACCCATATCTGAGTCAGGGCTTTGGAGCTCCATGGCATTTACGTTGGGGACTGATTCCTTCCCTGGGCTACAGCCTTCAGCTTTCTAGGTCTTCCTTGCCCTCTTTCCCACTTTTTCTCAGTCCCAGTGGAGGCCCCAGCTCAGAAGCCAGTGGCCCATGAAGACAGTGTGCTACTTATGGATATTTATGCCTTCAGAATCAGGAACAGTGCCATGCCACCCCACACACACACTTGGGGCTCTGAAATCACTGGCATGGGAAAGCAGTCATTGTGTACCCTCTTGATGATGTGGATAGCTGGCTACCTGGGCAGCACCTGGCTAATCAAGCAAACAAAGTTCCAGCTTGATCTTCTCCCTTGCTCACGTGGTCTCTGGTCTTGGATCTAACCCTGTCACCATCCTTTCCTTGTAGCTGTATGTAATTGCCCTGCTTTGGGCTTTGCTAATTTTTTCTTGGCTAATGAAACCTTTGCCCTTCTTATCTTTTCTCCATCACATACAGCACAACAGCTCCAGCTGGCAGCATCACCTCCCACCAATTTATCCAACTTCTGCTGAGGCTCTGAAATGCCAACGATGTCGAGACCTGCACTTGATGTCAAGGGTGGTACCTCACCTGTGAAGGAGGTAACTTTTGCCATTTTACAAGTAGAGACATTTAGACCTGGGAAGATGAGCTGGTCTGGGGCCACCTATAGGCCCTCCTAGGTGTGGTGTCTAGTGTCCTTTAGCAGAGAGGAGACAACAGGGCTTTCTCTAGGGAGAATGAGGATAGCTTCTGCCTAAATGTGGTCAAACCGAACCCACTCAGGTTGTTGAAAGATGGCAGGGTAGGGAGCAGAGAATTAGAATCAGAATAAGACAACACCATTGAAAGGATTGGGGGGAGGGCAAAAATAAAAGGAAAGGATTAATGTGAGGCTGAGAAGAGGGACAATGAGATGCCTTTAGAGTGATGAGGTGGAGGGAGGGAGATGAAAGCAGCAAACCCACTTAGGAGGGCAGGTGCCCAGCATGAGCACTTTGCTCTGAACACTGAGCTCAAGAGGATCCTCAGGCTGGGAGCTTAACTTTGCAGGGGGCCTTCTTGCTACCTCCTCACCACTAGCCCCAAATGAAGTGCATGTAGGAGTTTTCTGGGCCTGATATTATGTTGCACCTTTCTTGTCTTCTAGGATGCCAACCAAGAGATGAGCTCTCTAGCCTACTCTAACCTGGGGGTGAAAGATCGCAAAGCAGTAGCCACTCTGCACTACCCCGGGGTAGCCTCAAATGGAACCAAGGCCAGTGGGGTTCCCACTACTTCCTCTGGATCTCCAACTCCAATAGGCTCTCCAACCACCACCCCTCCCACTAAATCCCCACCCTTCAACCTGCACCCTGCCCCTCACCTGCTGGCCAGTATGCAGCTGCAGAAACTTAATAGCCAGTATCATGGGATGGCTGCAGCCACTCCGGGCCAACCAGGGGAGGCAGGGCCCCTGCAAAACTGGGGCTTTGGGGCTCAGGCGGGAGGAACGGGGTCACTCTCTCCTCCTGCTGGTGCCCAGAGCCCTGCTATCATCGATTCAGACCCAGTGGATGAGGAGGTGCTGATGTCACTGGTGGTGGAACTGGGACTGGACCGGGCTAATGAGCTTCCAGAGCTGTGGCTGGGGCAGAATGAATTTGACTTCACTGCAGACTTTCCGTCTGGCTGCTGATGCCAACTATCCCTAAACATGAAGGAATAAAGCCACCAATTCTGTTGTAAATAAAAATAAAAGTTACTTACAAAGAGTTGGACTAACTGGAGGTGTTCTTCATTGAGGTCTAAAGATGTGTTGCATGGTCTGGTGTCTTTTCAGCAATTCTGAGGCCCGTGGTGGGGTGTGGGTGGATAGCTGGGAGGGAGCTGGATGGGATGGGAGGAATGGGGGTGGGGCGGTAGGGGACTGCTTACCAAATTTCTGCCGTTATCTCTTTAGGAGCCCAAGTACCTAGCCTCATTGCCCTAAGTCCCCAGGAACACTGTCCTATTTGAGGTTAAATACAGGGGCTGGTTGGGGGCATTCTCAGAAGAAAGACTGATCCAGACCCTTCCTCAGCCTCCTCACCACTTGCACATTCAGGTCTAAAGGGTTGCCCTGGCCACGTGACACACACTTCACCAACCCTAAAAGCCATCCCCACCCACTCTATAGTTCCAATCCAATTGACCCATTAAGGCTTTGCCCTTTTGCCTTTGAGCAGTAGATAGGACCTAAATAGGATCCTATGACCTGAGAGCTCAGATTTCTCTGGAAAATTACAAAAGCTACAGACTCCCAAGATTAAACTGAAATTCTGATGCCTTCTTCAAGCCCCTCAGACAATTGCTCAGGGCCTCCCTCTAAGCCTGGTCTGAGCGTCTCCTGACTCTGGCCTCCCTGGCTCACCATGTATAGGGACAGCCTGTTTATTAGGGCTGTCCTCTCCATCTTAGAGATACAAATCAGGGCTGGACTTGACAAGTTCAGCTTTTGGGGATGCCTTTGCCCTTAGATTAACTGCTGAAGAGGCTGTGGCTTCGGAAGCATGCCAAGTGACAAGACAGTAGCACTGAACTGGATCCTGGCCTTGGGGGACGGCAGTTCAACCCCATCCTTGTGTTAAGATAACCCAAGGGTCTTCTCTACCCACATTTAAGACTCCTGGGGATATCCTTCCTTGGACATTGTGGAACTTACTTGAAACAGCTCATGACTAGCATGAGGTCTGACCCACGGCAAGCACTTTTGAAGGAGCCAGCTGGCAGAGGCAATGCACTGGGTTTGGCACTCGCTGAGCACCTGCTCTGGGCCAGGCACTCTGTTAGGCATGGGAGCATGAATTATATAAAGTGTGTACCTTTGAGGGGATTCCCCATCTAGAAGGAGAAAGATGAACACAGTATTGCCTATAACACTTGCGGAAGGTGCTGTTCAATCCCAGAAAAGGAAACAGCTCCCTCTGCCTGGGAAGTCTGGAGAAGGTTTCCTGGTACTAAACTGGTTCATTTCTTTGTTTTTAATATCTCACAAGTAGTAAGTACATGATACAATCTCTTTGTGAGAGTAGAAACTTTACAGATAAGGTTAAATCCTTTGATCCAGTCCCTCCCTCAATCTTGATCACCTCTGGCCCTGCACAGAGGTAGCAAATGTTTATCTGTTTGTGGTGTATCCTCGCTGGTCTTGCTCTGTGCCTTTACACAAAGACATATGTACCTACAAAAACAATAGGGTTTAAAAATAAGACTAGAGCCAGCCAAGGAAACAATGAGTAAGGGGGAAAGCTGTTGTGCAGGCACAGGTTCATGAAAGGGGCTACAGTGGCTAAAAACCAGATTTTTTGTCTTCTTCTAGAAGACCAAGTGAGGAGCATGCCTTTGTTTTTAGTACCACCAACCCTGTAGCTTGTGGAGAATCTCTGGAAGTTTGTAGGAAAACAAAGAATTAACCAACTTTGATTTTTAGGATTATCCCTCTGAAGATAAATAGATTTACCTGACCCTGCAAACAGAGACATGGGGTTCTGAGGTGGAGACATGGGGTCCTGAGGGGCTAGTAGGGCAGAGGTAAGAAAACAAAGAGGAAAAACTGGAAGCCTGGGAGAAAGTGAGGAGAACCAGGGGACCGGAGGGCCTGGAGGTCTGTGTGCAGAGAAGAGGTCAGGATTGAGGGAGGCAGGAAGTGAAGGGAAAGGAGGGAAGCTGTGGTCAGCAAGTGGGTTTCAGAATCTGGACAGTCTATTGACAGGGCAAGGGTGGGCTCAAGAGTGGGGTCTAAAGCAGAATGGCAGGATGTGGAAGGAGCCTCGACCATAAAAGGCTGGAGGGTTCCGAGTCCCTCCTCTGCTGGGGCCTTCACAAGAACATGATTCTGGACAAACGAAACAGGTCAGCAGGCTAGACTGTTTGCCAACCCTGACCTCTGAAGCCCCTAGGGTGTCAGCAGCCCGTAGGGTAAGGAGGAAGAAGCCCAAGCCAAGGGTCACTGCCTCTGATGGGGAGGGGCTGCCTTGGAATCATGAGGTGACAGGAGTACAGCTTGGGAAGCAGGTGGTGGTGGGGAATGGCCTGGACATCCCTAGAGAAGGTGCTTCTGAAGGGGGGAGAACAAGATCTTGGGCATGGCAATCCTGCCTCCTGGTGCCAGGAAAGCGTGGCCAACTGAGCAGCCTCTTCGTCAGAGGGTTTGGAGGGAGAGGGAGGCAGGGAGTAACCTCCAAGCTGAACTCAGGTGAGGAGTGTGAGGCAGTAATTTTTTATTGTTGGAGAAGGAGCCAGAGAGACGGAATGTCACAGGGCACAGTGGGGGGAAGGCAGGGAAGCCTCTGCCCCTGCCACACTATTTCATATTCAGGTCCCTCATAACACAACTAGACAGGTTCAGTAGGTTACCAGGAATATTTCTGAAGCCAACTCCAAGTCTCTCCCTGGGGGCTAGGCAGCAAGGTTCCCAGATGCACACAGGTAAGGAACACTGCCTGCCCTCCAGGAGCCTGTAGCCTAGGTGCAGTTGAAGATGTGTAACCAAGAGCACCTCCTAGAGATCAGGAACTATGATGCTCCCTAGGGGCAAATCAGGGGACTCTGTCTCTGGTCTCAAGGAACTCACAGTCCAGTGGTGGAGACAGTGATATTCTTGAAGGATGAATTGGATTTCCACAAGGCAGCAATGCTGGTGGGGAATGGAGGGGAGGACATGGCACAAATGAAAAGATCAGGGCATGCTGTAAACCAGAGCCAAACATGAGAAAGCCCATGGCTTTGTCAGGGAAGGGTGGAAAATCCAGCAGCTTAATTTCCTTGAAGGGCAGAAAGCTGAGAGAAGATTAAGTTTGAATCAGATCTTGCATTGTTTCTACTTTATTCCACAGACCAAGGGGAACCTATCATTCCTCAAACATGGACTGAGTACCTACTAAGTACCAGGTGCGCACTAAGCACTGCAAATATGTGGTGAACACATTGCCCTTTCTCTCATGAAATTTTAAGTTTAGCTAGGATATAGACAACAGTCAAATATCATGCAGATAATTACAAATTATGAAAAGAGACATGAAAAAAAGTTACAGGTGCTACGAAAGAGTATAATGAGGGACTTAATTTCAATTGCAATATATCACGAAGGGCTTCTGAAGGTTTTGAATAATGGAATGCTGTGGTCAGAGCTTGCATGGGGAAAATGAACCAGGCTATACTGTGCATGGCAATTGGAATTATGGTGATGCTAGAAAGCTGTTACAGTGATTTAGGCAAGAAGTGAAAAAGACCAGACACTAGAGACTATGATGAAAGGGCAGCATTTCAATGGGGAGTTATTGTTCACTGAATATAGAGTTTCACTTTTGCAAGATAAATTTTAGAGATCTGTTGCACAGCAATGCGAATAATTTAACACTACTGAACTGTACACTTAAAATGGTAAAGATGGTAAATTTTATATTATGTGTTTTTTAACCACATTTTTTAAAGGTAGCATTTCAAAGTAGAGAGGTAATGATGGACTACTCAATAAATGCTTTGGAACAATTGGATACACTACCTCACACTTTACACAAAAATAAATTCCAGATGGACCAAAAAAATTTTAATGAAAAAGTAAAACCATAAAAGTACTAGAAGAAAATATGGGAAGATTTTTTTTTAAATCTTGAAATGAGGAGGCCTTCCAAGAATGACACAAAACCAGACGTTATGGAAGAGATTTATATATACAACTACATTTTTAAAAACCGGCAAGGCAAAAATACCATTAAAAAGGCAAAATCAGCCGAAACCGGTTTGGCTCAGTGGATAGAGCGTCGGCCTGTGGACTGGGGGGTCCCAGGTTCGATTCCGGTCAAGGGCATGTACCTGGGTTGCGGGCACATCCCCAGTGGGAGATGCGCAGGAGGCAGCTGATCGATGTTTCTCTCTCATCGATGTTTCTAGCTCTCTATCTCTCTCCCTTCCTCTCTGTAAAAAATCAATAAAATATATTTAAAAAAAAAAAGGCAAAATCAAAAGAGAAACAATAGCCTAGCTGGTGTGGTTCAGTGGTTGAGCGTTGACCTATGAATCAGTAGGTGGAGGTTCGATTCCTGGTCAGGGCACATACCCGGCTTACAGCTCGATCCCAAGTAGGGGGAGTGCAGGAGGCAGCCAATCAATGAGCCTCTCTCATCATTGATGTTTCTATCTGTCTCTCCCTCTCCTTTCCTCTCTGAGGTCAATAAAAATATTTTTTAAAGAGAGAAACAATAATCTGGAGTAAATTTCTGCAACTCGTAGTGAATATGAAAACAGCTGTTACAAATCAATGTCAAAGACCACCAGCCTAATATAAAAATGAGCAAATGATATCAAAATTAAATACAGAAAAAGAAATTAAAATGGCTTTAAAACTCATCAAAAGCCCTAGCCAGTTTGGCTCAGTGAATAGAGCATTGGCCTGCAGACTGTAGGGTCCCAAGTTCGATTCTAGTCAAAGGCACATGCTCAGGTTGCAGGCTCAATCCCCAGTAGGGGGCATGCAGGAAGCAGCTGATCAATAATTCTCTCTCATCATTGATGCTTCTATCTCTCTCTCTCCCTTCATCTCTGAAATCAATAAAAATATATTTAAAAATAAAATAAAACTCATCAAAAGATGCTCAAATATTCACTCATACCAAAATGTTATTTTAAAAACTACACTAGGGGACATATAGTTTCAGAACAAGATGATTTAGACTCATTTTCCCTGCTCCTCTCCTACAAATACAATTATATTTCCTAGAAGT